TAGTTATTTAATCCCTTATCCTCAAAAGAAGTGAACTCGAGTTCATGTTTAACTTTATATTCATAATTACGTTTGATACCCTCATGGTAAGTGTAGTGGCCGACCTATGAATACAAGTTAATTTACAAAAAAAATATTTATTTGTCTTCCCTTTCTACTCGAATCTTTCCATTCCAAACCAACTGCTTTCCTAAACATGCACTGCATTGTAGAATCACTCATGGCTATTAGTAACACGCTAAAGTAGCAACACTGATTGGAACTTCAAGAAACAGTAAAAGGTCAAAGGGTATTCCAATAAAAGTTAATGTAACTTCTTTGGGATCTTACACAATAAAGAAGTAGGGACTCATTCTTGCATTATCCCATTGGTCGATAGCACACGTGGTATGAAACACATGTTACGGTGTTCTCACCTTATATTGGCGCTTGTGTGTTATTATTTTAATCATCCAACACCATACAAATCTTGGTCTAGACACCTTCAAGTGTCTAACCCAAGTTTCTCACTTCAATAATCCTCAAACCATCTTCTTAGAGAAACTCGTATCTGGTTTACAAAACAAGTCATAATCGAATAGTGAAATTCGTAAGCTGTCAAGAACGACCTCTTCAAGTAAATATAACCCCGCATTATCCAAGGTTCTATAAGGTCTCATCTCTTTACGATTCTTAACGTAAGAGGCGATTGCTCGTGTGAGAGAGCCAATCTCGCAACTTTTTCGACATACTTTATTAACAAAACATTCATCACATGCATACGGGATATAAGCAAAATTCAAGAGTCAAATATTGATGAGCATATTATAATACTAAAGTTTTTTTACAATACATAAATATGTCCATATCCTTCACAAACCTAGAGTCATAACATGTTTCTCAAACAGGTCTCTAGATATCGCTTTTGTAAAAGGATCAGCTATCATGCTTCGCGTAGAAATGTACTGTAAATTTATCTCTCACTTGCTACCATGTCTCTTACAAAGTTATACTTAATGTCAATATGTTTGGTCTTGCTATGATACTTAGGATCTTTTGTATATGCAATAGCTGCTTGACTATCACAATATAAAGTCATGAGATCCTGAGAGTTCTTTGTAATATTCAAATGCTCAAAGAATCTCTTCAATCAAACAGCTTCTTGTACTGTAGACGCACAAGCCACGGACTCAGCTTCCATCGTTAAAAGGGTTGTACATGTTTGTTTCTTACTTTTCAATGATATAGCACTACCATTAAGTAAGAGGGCATACCAGGATGTTGCTTTTCTATCATTCCGATCACCAGCCCAATCAACATTTGTATACCCTCTCAAGTATAAATCATTTCCATTATAACATAGCGAATAATCCGCAGTTCCCTTCAGCTATCTGAAAAATTCTCTTCACAGCTTTCCAATGATCTCTTCCATGATTTGATTGATACTTTTTAACCAGACCTACGGCATAATAAATGTCTGCGCGGGTACACATCATAGCGTACATCAAGTTCCAGACAACACTTGAATATGGAACTCGAGACATGTCTTCCTTTTCATTTTCAGTTTTGGGACACATTTCAAGGCTTAAAGTTTCACCTCTCGCTGTAGGAGTATCCATGGATTTGCAACCATTCATGCGAAAACGCTCCAAAATTTTCTTTATATAAGTTTCTTGAGATAGGCTCAATAACTTTTTGGAACGGTCTCTTTGGATATTAACTCCAAGGATATAGTCTGCCTCGCTCATATCTTTCATGTCAAATGACTTTGAAAGCCATGACTTGATAGTTTTTAAATACTCCAAATTATTTTCGGCCAATAAAATATTGTCCATATAAAGAGAAAGAATTACAAATATCCCAATGGACTTCTTCACATAAATGCAATGGCCTTTATTGGTCATGGTGAAATCATATGAGATCACCTCCTTGTGAAATCTCAAATACCATTGCCTTGAAGATTGCTTCAGACCATAAATATATCTTTTCAATTTACAGACTTTCTTTTCTTGGCCTTTAACGGTGAAGCCTACAGGTTGTTCCATGTAGATTTATTTGTTCAGTTCTCCATTGAGAAAAACTGCCTTCACGTCCATTTGATATAATTCCAAATCCACATGTGCAACAATAGCCAAAAGTAAGCGAATTGAGGTAAACTTCACAACTAGTGAAAATGTTTCCTCATAATCTATTCCAGCTTCTTGAGTAAAGTCTTTTGCCACCAATCGTACCTTGTATCTTTCTATTGACCCATCTGTTTTGCGTTTAACTTTGAGAACCCATTTGTTCCCAATGGCTCTACGCCCAGGTGGAAGGTCAACCAGATCCCAGACTTTATTAGTTTTCATGGACTCTAATTATTCTTTCATTGCTTTCATCCACTCATCTTTTTCAGGGCTCGGTAAAGCCTCAGTCACAGACTTTGGCTCATCCATTTCTGTGGGAGATACCAAGAAAACATAATCTTCAATGTCATAAGTACGTTTTGATATATTTTTCCTGGCACTCTTTCGTAGTTGAAATTCAGGTTCGTCAGAAGGATTTTGGGATTGAGAGTTCCCACTCCCACTCAGATAAAAAATAAGATCTTGATCAAATTGATTATTAATTGTGTTAGAAGACACTTGCTGACTGTTTGAGTTCAACATTCATAATGAGGCCCTCCATTCTTTACCTCGCTCTTCTTTGGAAAATCATTTTCCAAAAAATGTGACATCTCGCGATTCAATCTCAGTAACATTTTCATCCTCTAATTCACCAATGAACACATACCCTTTGGAGTGTTCTGAATATCTTATAAAGATACATTTCTTGTATTTTGGACCTAATTTACTAAAACTTGCTAAAAAAATCCTTTACATATGCAGCACAACCCCAAAGTCATAAATCCTTTAAGTTTGGTTTATGACCAGTCCATAACTCATGAGGAGTGGAAGAAACTGGTCACTCCAAAAGTGTTCCTTCCATAGTAGTACTACGTTAAACGTCATTTATCATTTATGTAATAGGTTCAGTGGTTTTTATTTCCAAAAACTTGCTTTAGTTATTTATGAGTGATTAGGTGTTATAGTTGACTAGTTATTTTTGCTCCCAGATAGAGGGGATTTAAAATTTAAATTTTATCGGTTTAACTTTAGGTCTTTACTATTGCACTCAATACATCTTGTGAAATTTTGGATTCAAACTTTATTATTTTGTTTAATTTCAATAACTTTTACTTATATATTTATAGTACGCATTGAAGATGTTGTGTACACTTGTACTTATAAATAACATGCTAGTTCCTTCAATACTTGAACGCTTAGTGTAATGGGGCCTAAACATGACATATTTGATTCATTTTAAAATGATAATGACATTTTTTCAGTTGCACCTGACGAAAGTAGTTGATTTTGATTAATTGTATTAAGTTACATAATCCAATTTATTTTGAAATCTCGAAGTCAGTTTAAAAAAATGATCCTTCTGAATTTTTTGACTCATGCCAACTTACAGCTATAAGATTTTAATACATAAATTGTTAGGTGTTTGTCCAAATTTTCTTACCATAATTGATTTTCCTATCTCATGAATGAAAGGACAACATATTTATTATAATTAGGTTTTTCTTTCCAGAAGAAAAATATAATTCTTCCATATTTGGTTAGTCCTTTTTCTGGTAGAAAAAGGTTTGGACTTCTATAAATTGAGAATCTTTCCTTCTCATTTAGTAACATCCATAATGTAGCCATATGGGGTTTGAGAGTCGTATTTAGGTAGAGAACTTTACGGGATAAGTGTTAGTGTATCACTTGTGTTTGCCTCTTCGTGAGGTTTATTCTCTCAATATTGTGTACTCTCTTTTATATAGTGGATTGCTCATCTCCGCCGTGGATGTAGGTCAGTTGACCGAACCACGTTATATGTTTGTGTCTCTTTTGGTATATTTCTCTTTTATTGTCTGATTTATCGTCATTCAAGGTTTGCTTTACTAGCTTCCGCATGACACCTGGTTTTTTCGGTCCTAACAAATAGTATCAAAGCGATGTTCAAGACAGGTTCATCTTGGCGGGCTCAGTTCTAGCCGCAACATATTTGACGATAATCGTAATTTTTGTCTGAGAAATTTGACCGGTGTGCTATGCACGTTGAGACAGACTTTGTGGTGGAGATTTGGAGATGTGACCCTGTTGAATGCTATGTGAAGAAGGTGGATCAAGTTTATTTTGTCAGAAAATTCAGGCCAAGGGGGAGAATTGTTTTTCTTACCATAATTGGTTTTACTATCTCATGAATAAAATGACAACATATTTACTATAATTGAGTTTTTCTTTTCCTAGAAGGAAAATATAATTCTTCCATATTTGGCTAGTCCCTTTTCTGATAGAAAAAGGTTTAGACTTCTACAAATTGAGAATCCTTTCTTGTCATTCAGTAACATCCACAATGTAGCCATATGGGGTTTGAGAGTCGTGTTTATGGGGAGAACTTTAAGGGACAATTGTTAGTGTGTCACTTGTTTTGCCTCTTCGTGAGGTTTGTTCTCTCGATATTGTGTACTCTCTTTTATATAGTGGATTGCTTATCTCCGCCGTGAATGTATGTCAGTTGATCGAACCACGTTAAATGTTTGTGTCTTTTTTGGTAGATTTCTCTTTTATTGTCTGATTTATCGTCGTTCAATATTTACTTTACTAGCTTCCGCATAACACCTGATTTTTTCGGTCATAGTCCATTTTAAAAAGATTACGGCTTTGGGTATCACATGAATTCCATTAAATATTCTCTATTTAGTTTAAGTTGAAATGCTAACTTGCTAAAAACATAATTAAGACATTCATACACACAATAAATTAAAGAAATAATAAAATCATAAAAGAAAAAAAATCGACGCCTACCAAGGTTCTTGATAATGGATAGACGCCTAACACCTTGATTAATTATTATCTAATTTATGAATTGTGAGGTTCACTTATATCCAGCAATGGTCATTGTACTGCTTTTATAATAGCCACATGTACAAAATGAATCCAAACCTTCATGTTTTTCCTTTTTAGTATATTCGTGGTTTTGCAATTTGTGCTACAAGTATCGTATTGAACATTATTACTAAAAATGAAATAATATTTGAACAAAAGAGCAATTCTAATTGTTGTTTGCATATTGGAAAGCTGTGTTTTGTTTAATGAAAAACAAAAATACAGCCGACGACTATATTCTAAAAAAAAAAAAAAAAAAAAAACAACTCGCTCAAGGCTAACTCATACTTCAGTTTCCATTTATCAGGACAGACACGTGTCAGTTACCAGCGAATATCTTGACGAGCAGGTGAAGAACCTCGAAAGCAGAAGATTCAAAACCCACCTGAAATCATCGGCCACACACTTGCAGTTTGAAGTTGGAGAAATTGGAAAAAAAATGGAGAGAGATGGTGAAGGAACAGTGAGCTCACCGACGCAGAGGGTTAGCGACGGTCGTTCAATTTCACCTACTAGAGTCCGACCCGGACCAGACCCATTCCTAGTGACTTGTAGATTATTCAGCTTTGTTACTGCGTTAGCCGCTATTCTCTGCATTGCTGTTAATGTTTACTCTGCCGTAAGATCATTTAAGAATGGCTATGACGTAAGCCCTCCTCCCATGTTTTTGTGCTAATCTATCTGTGTATTGTGTGAATATTTATGTAAATGCGATAATTTTGGAAAATGCACTAGGTATTTGATGGAATTTTCCGCTGTTATGCGGTGGTGATTGCGATTATTGTGGTTGTTGCTGAGACCGAGTGGGGATTTTTCATCAAGTTCTGGAAGGTTTGTGTGATGTCTTACTTTTTCTTATGATTTTTGCTGACATTATGACCAATTAAACATATGTTTGCGTATCGGACATTGTAAATTCGAACTGTTCCAACTTCAGTGCCGCTATTAGTATGTGTTTGCATTTGTTCATGTTTATTCACAAAATCAAAGCTGTAATGATTCAAGAAATGATCCTACTTGCTGCAGGAAGCTGTAATTATGTTGCAAAGCAGCTTTGCTAAAATCAATTGTTGCATTTCTAATAATACAGACAACTGAGTGACCAAAAGAGTTATGACATAATTGTGAAAATAAATCATCAAAAAGTAATAGTAGGGAGCCACCCAACCATGAGGATGGCACATGCTATAAGCAATGGTACCACTGCATAGGAAAAGAGAAAAAGGAAAAAGAAAAACTTATACAATGAACATAAGTACTTTCAGTTTGCTCTCTTTCTCCAAAGGTTGAGAGAAATCTGCTAACTATGTTCTATTGTTAGGACTATTTTGTAAGTAATCAGAAAGATTAACTTTTTCCGGATTAAGTTTTTCTTGATTTGATCTTGAACTGGTCATAAGCATCATCCTATTTTCCATAATCTAATTCTCGTTCGACTCGTAGTTATACAGAGGCCCAATTTCCCATCCTGACACATAGTTAGCCCATTGGTAAACTGCAAACATAAGATTATAAGACTATCTCTTCCTTGCCGCATCATTGAGCTTCCTTTCTGGAAATTAAATTTGGGACTAGGAATACAAATCTGTTTCGCTTGATTCAACCTAACCATGAAGTCAAATGATCAAGAGGACAATATGAGATCTCAAAGATTACATTGATAGTATGACCTGTAATTATAACAAGAATAGATTGATAATCCTTTCTTGGGGTAAGTTGAGTTTATGATTTGACTGGGATTTATTAAGCAAGAATGTCAGTTGGAGACTTGTAGTTTATCTAGCACAAGAAAGGATAGCTAAGAATTGTAAACCCCACACATTGTTTAGAGATTGGGAAGTTTAAAGATGAATGCACTTTGGCCTTTTGGGCTGTATAATGTTGGAAATCCAATCCTGTTGTTTATTTAGATAGATATATGAACAGTATTAATATTTAGGAGAAACATGGCATGAAAATAAGCAGTACTAGGATGTACTAACCATGACCAAAATATCCTTGGTTGACCAGCAATTAGCAGTTACTTTAGATGCAATTGTTTGTCTTGCTGTAGCAAAAGAGATGTTCCTTCCCCCCTTTCAATTTCTGTCCTTTTAATGCTCAAAGTCATTCTTTGCCTTATTCCATCACAATTAAGCATTCAGTCACTTGTATTATGGCATCTTTATAGTCTTACATTAAATTTAATAAACCAGATATCACTTGATTATTTTAACGAACTTGGGAAGGTTCCATATATTCTTAGGTGCAAAATTCTAATAATTATATGGTTTCTTTTTTGATGAAATAAATTGTTGTATTAAAAGGCATCAAGAAGATGCAAGAGTACAAGGAGCTATTTTCAAGAAGCAGATATATAAAAGTAACAAAAGTGAGTTGCTAGCCCCTATACAATGTCTCAATCTAGGACAAGAGAGCTAATAAACTCCAAAAAGTGTTCAGTACTAACTACTGGGGTCAACTTTGTCCAGCTAAAAAGATTGGTTAAGCATTTGGCTTTAAGAGAGTGGTTTGGAGTTGAGATGCCATCAAAACATCTTTTGTTTATCTCATTCCATAGACACCAAAAAATAATTGCAGGGATCATAATCCATATCTTTTTGACAGACTTATCAACTTGCCCCAGACTCCAACTCAAGTACGCGTCTCTCAAATTCTGTGGCATGACCCAATTTAACCCAAAAATACAATAGAACATGCTCCATTTGTCAATGGCTACTGGCCAGTGCAGGAAGAGGTGACTGATAGATTCCTGGCTCCTCCTGCATAGATAACATCTATGTGGTGCTCCATTATATGCTTTCTATGTGGTATGCAGTGACATTCTTATTTTATTGAACAGACAGTGACTTTGTTATTATAATATGCTTTCTAGTTGCTTGCACATTTTGACCCAATACCTTTCACAATAAATAAGAGCACAGATAGTACTGATATGAACTTTCAATGACCTTGTGTAGGTGTTGGAGTTTTCAGCTGGAAGGGGCATGCTACAGATCTTGTAAGTAAGACTTTAGGCCTGCTGAAATTGTTGAAATCAGGCTTAACAGAATAGTTGTTTTTTGGGGCGGATCTCACATTCTCCTCTTTCTGGGTTTGTTCTAGTGTTGCAGTGATGACCAGAGCTTACCCTGAAGNTTCCAATCGTGGGTGGACTTTCTACTAATTACAGTTTGGTGTGGGTGTAGAGTGAAAGGATTGGCCTGCCTGTTAGGCTATTACTTCTGTCAGCAAACAACTCATGTATTTTATTAGTTCTTTCATCAAGATTGTTCTGTTAATAAACCTAGTTTTCATTCGTGTGAAAGCTGCAGCATATGCTTGGGCTATTGTCTTTCTACATGTATTATGGGCATAGGAATGATCTCATTCTTGTCCGGAACATAGCTAGCTACTTGCTTCTTACCTGTGGTGCCATTTACATTATATCAGTAAGTTCACAAAACCATCAGGCTGCTACATGGCAATGACTTGTCTGCTAGGGTCCATACTGCTGTAGCTTGTAGTTGATAATTGATATGACACAATACCTCAAGGGTATGATGCCCAGCCTTGCTTCTTTGATTCCCACTCACCTCCCATAGAGGCGGATAAATGTCAATATCATTAGGAGATTGTCTTTAGCTTCGGACAGGAGAATTCCTTTCAAGAATGCAAGCAGTGAGCACCTGTTAGGCTATCAGAAGCTATGCTAACTAATATTCATCTAGTGGTCTTAAGCATCATTTATTTGCATGTCCAAGTAAATCTTAAGTGTGTTTACTTTGCCTCCATGACATATATTGTGCTGTTAAAGATTACAGCCTGTTGTTTGAGCATCTTCATTCTGTAGCATTGATTTTAACTTCAATTATATCATATCTAAGCATGTTCTGGCTGCATACCTGCTATTAGAGTCCATCTTGTTGAGTCCTTTTGGGGTAGCATATTATCCATTAGACTTTTACTTATGTTTTTTCTCGACTTATGTTACTTCTAGGGAATATTGTGCTTTGGCTTTATCAAACGTGCTCGCCAGGCGAAAGAAATCTCCAGGGAGCAAGCCATTAAGGATCTGCAGGTAATCCATGAAGTCATGTATTTAACCCTCTTGTCAGTTTGGAAGCGTACCTTGAGCCGAACACCAGAGTGAGAGTCAGATATCTGATCCTTCTCCAGGCCTGGCATGGGTCTTGCTCTCTAAATTTGTTCTTATTTTCGTCTTCTCTGGTTCTCTGTTTTTTTGCTGCTATCACTCGTCTTAATTTTCTCCAAAGAGTCTAAATCCAACCTTCCAAAATATTCAGCCCTTAAAACCCTAGGATCACTCACTCTGCATCACCTACTTTAGTTAAAACAAATTAGTAATGCAGATTCTAGTACAACATAACAGTTATCATTTAGAAACAATATTAATAGAGAAAAGATAGGGAGAGAGCCAGATTAGTCATGAACCTTGTTGTTGTAACCATGTATAGATTAAGCTTACAACTGGATGAAAGTGGATTTGGTTCAGCGATTTTCTGTAGTAAAAGAAAAATGGTATATACTTGCAGCCAGCCAATTTTTCAAACATTGCCTACTGTGTGATATCACTAGAGCAAGTAGTAACTATAATGTTTCTTGACCAGAGGCGGAGCCAGGTTTTGAAGTTTATGTGTTCTGAACTTGCCACCGAATCATAACTCATCTTAGTTACTGGTTCACAATTACATATTAATGCATATTTAATGGATTTCCTATACAAATACAGGATCTAAGCAAAAGCTAATTTGTTTGTCCGAACCTATACCTAGTACTCTAGCTCCTCCCTTGCTTGATCCATTCCTATTACCCTAGCGGTGACATTGGCCCAATTGTTTATTTCCTTTTCGCCATTGTAGACATCGAAATTTTAAAGGATCAAGATAAATTCTAAATTCAAGATACTATAAGACTCTTGATATCTTAGGAGTCTATCAGGGTTTTTTGGAGGTTACTCTACCCTAAACCCTAACACACACCTATATAAAAGGATACATATTCCCTTGAAGAGGCGTCTAAAAAAAATCTCATAAATCTCGAGATATTCACAAATGAATCAAGGCATAAAATAATGTCGTGATCAATAGATGTTCTTCTTGATAATCAAGTACTTCAAGAAGAATATTCATACATTGATCGACTTTCATGGAGATTAAATAATCCAGAGAGGTCCGTATCATCCTATATTCGAGAATATGCTGATCCAGCCCTCGAAGCACAGAGAACAATTCGGAGGAAGAATCAAGGAAACAAACAAAATTGTAACCGCATCATTTTATCAATAAAATTATGTTTCTTCATACTTATATTGTGGTTGCAATTTATTTTTGTATCACATATAATTTGTTACAAACAACCATTCCTGAAATCATATTAATAATCACAATCCCCAGGATTTGGAGCGTCAAAGAGAAGAGCTTGAAGCATTGTTGATACAAGAGAGGGCTTGATAACATGGAGCTGAGGTTATGGCAACAACAAACCCAACATTCGAAGTTGAGGAGAAAACTTGGAAAGTAAAGCTCAAATCAAGAAATTTTATGTTGTGTGTGTTTTACATGCTATGTTACCCAATTTGAGATTGAAATTTTCACTGATCTATGTATTGCAGATCTGTACAGTTATATAGACCACTTTCCTCATGGCAATTATTGTTATAGGTTAGATGGTTGTCTATTCCTTGTTAGTTTTAGAATTTAGACAGTTAAATCTAAGAAGCAGCGCCTGCCCATATTGTTTTAGTGTTAGAGCAGGACAATATATTCAACTAATTATTCAGTGTTATAAATATATTATATTATGGATGTTCATTTAGTAATCCGTTGTAAATAAGCTTCCTGAAGAAGCTTATCCATATGGGACTCCACCGTAAATATGTTTATCTATTTAAGTACTCTATTGGAAATAAGCTTCCTGAAGAAGCTTATCACTTCGATACCCGGTTATGGATAAACATTACCCCCGGTAGAAGATTATCCATACCGGGTATAATAAGCTTATCCTTTCAGTACCCAGTTATGGATAAACATTACTCCCGGTAGAAGATTATCCATATCGGGAATAATAAGCTTATCCTTTCAGTACCCAGTTATGGATAAACATTACTCCCGGTAGAAGATTATCCATATCGGGAATAATAAGCTTATCCTTTCAGTACCCAGTTATGGATAAATATTCTCCCCGGTAGAAGATTATTCATACCGGGTATAATAAGCTTACCTTTCAGTACCCAGTTATGGATAAACATTACCCCCGGTAGAAGATTATCCATATCGGGTATAATAAGCTTATCCTTTCAGTACTCCGTTATGGATAAACATTGCTCTCAGTAGAAGATTATCCATATCTGGTATAGTAGCAGCTTACACAACAGCTTCCTTTCTTCTATAAATAGAAGAGATTTCAGTTCATTATGTACATCAGTTTGAATTCGAATAATATATCAGTTTCTCTCTATACTTGTCTTTACTTTATAGTCTTTATTTTATAACACTTATCAGCACGAGACTCTGCCATCTCGAGCAAATATTTTGAGAGTATCTGAGGTAAGAACTTTCTTTTCCTAAATAATGTCAAATCTTTCTAAACTTGGATTTGTAGCCCTCGATATATCGGGCAAAAGCTACATGTCTTGGGTGCTTGATGCTTAAATTCATCTTGATGCGATGGGTCTGGCAGATACCATCAAAGACAAAAATCAGGCATCAAACTAAGATTGTGCCAAAACAATGATTNTGAGAAGTTACCCGCCTTATTCTTTAATTTGTACTATATCATGTATCACAGTAAACCAGAAGTATACTAAAGCAAAAGTTTATGACATAGTAAACCAGAAGTTTACTAAGAGATAACACATGACATGATAAACTTGAAGTTTTCATTTGCCATTTTTAAATGAGCTATTTGAGAATTCAGATAAGCATATACTAAAGAATTACAAGATTCTTCAGGAATTCTCATGTGTTGCTTGTTCTCATAATGAATTGATTATACCAGCTAAAGTTGGGACTAAGACCCCTGATTCTGAAATATATAAAAGGTGAATATGAGCCCGTTCACATATCATGTGAACCACTTATAGGTGCATATATGAGATGATTATATGTGTAATTATTGTCAATCTGCAGTTTGGCATTTGGAATTGCTTTTCTCGATTAAGAGCATAATTTTCAGATTATGAAATCAAGACAGTTCATCTTGATAATGCTGGTTTATATCCAAGCTGGTTTAGCATTGAATACCTCCTATTAATGGCTAAACCATTGCTTATGAGAACAAAGCTTCATGTGTTGGTCTAAGATTTTCTAAATTGCATATAGCAGCACTTGTATGCATCAGATCAACAATATATGATAAGTCCTCCCTTCACAATTGGTTAGGATCAGAAACCAAATATTTTTAGTATCTTTTGTTGCGTGGTATATGATTAATTTCTCTACCAATACACAAAGATATATTTTCCAAAGATGATTGGGGATATATGTTAGTTTTTCTAACATTTTGGGGATGGAATAAACAGTTGAAAAATATGCTATATGAATCGAAATATCATGATCCTCACTTAGAAGATAATTCAAGTCGAATGCCAGAAGCATTTGCTGATCCAAAATTAAATATCATATTTCAGCTGCAAATGCTCCTATTAAAATTAAAGTCCCTGAAGGATAAAATTTACTGTACGCATGAAGCGTGGTAGAACAATCAGTTCCAAAGGTAACAATCCTTGAAAAATAGTAGGAGCTAATGATCAAAATGATCATAATGAGGAGGAAATAAGCTCTAGAAGAGCCCACGACATAACATTTCATGAAACTCCCGAAAAAGTTCAGGTACCTGAAAATAAAGAAAGTGATGAGATCTCCACAAGTTATGTCGCTTCGGAATTGACACAAAATGATCGTCGACGATATATTTAATACAATATAGTGCACAATATTGTAAAAGATTGTGAGGATCGGACTAGCAGTCCAGACACTTGAAGATGTCATACCATTTAGATACAAGTCTTAACCTATATGACTTATTTGGCTAAATCTATATGAAGATCCTTGAAGGATTGAAAATGCCCGAAGCATATAATTCAAAGTCTTGAGAAATGTACTCGATCAAATTATAAAGATCTTTGTACGGTTTAAAGCAATCTGTGCGCGTGTGGTATAATCGCCTCAGTAAATATTTGCTGAAAGAAAGTTACATAAATTATGTTATTTGTCCATGTATTTTTATAAAGAAAATGTCATCAAAATTTGTTACACTTGCTGTTTATGTTGGTGACATAAATCTTATTGGAACTCCGGAAGAGCTCCAAGAGGGTCTTAAAAATACTTTTACATGGACAAAGTGTACCCATTAAGTACACCAATGAATATTCAATCACTTGAAGTGAATAAGGATCCGTTCCAACCTCTAGAAGAGGATGAGGAGCTCCTTGGTCCTGAAATACTCTATCTCGGTGTAGATGGTGCACTTATTTATCTTGCTAATGCTTACAAAAGTAGTGCAGATCGTATTGGTAATGCAGATGCAGGTTATTTATCTGATACTCATAAAGCTCGATTTCAAACCGGCAAGCAGGGAGTGCATATGAT